AAATGTACTCCTCACTCCCCAGTCTGATAAGGATCACTACCTACTTTAACAAAAAAAAAAAAAATATATATATATAACTGTGCATGCATAGATATATGCAAAGAATTGCCACACATTCTCCATTCAGCAATAAGCTTTTAGTAACCACATTAGAACAAAAGCCTTCACCCAGGGCAAGAAAACCTTCAGAGTCTGCACATGGCACTAATGAAGCAAGAATGTGTCTCTGGCTCTGACTATACTCTCCTCTTACGTCACTACAGACTCCAGCAGCCATCTGTTGGAGGGGTGATGCTGTACCTATATATAGCCAGACAACGCCATGAGAGAAAGAAAAACTCCCATCTCCACCTAATTCAGCATTTGCACTACTGGCAGATCCACAAGCCCTTATTTTACTGGCTAAACAAGTGCTCACTCTACAAATACACTATCTAAAAATGATACAAACTTCAATGTAAAATTATCTGGAAGAAGAAAGTAACTTGGGTGTTAAAAGGAGCACTAACAAGTGGGTAAGCAGCTCCCAGATACACAGATTTTATGGGCCATTTGCAAGCACAGATGATTTCAGCCTGATTTAATGTGCCAGTCTGCCCAAATAGCAAATAGACGAAAAAAAATCCCACCAAACGGTGTTCAATGCGTTCCTAAAAGTTGGCCAAGTACTATATAGAGACACTTCAAGAAACCAAACAAAACTCATAGATGAACTGAAGCCTGGTAGGTCTTGGACAGCAAGCCAGTTGTGGCACTGGTGATAGTTTCTCCTTCAGAGGCTCAGGACAAGAATAAAAGGAGGTGACATGCGCTGGTATTTAGAATAAATGCCAAGAAAATCCAAAACAGGAAACAAAATAGGTGCTACCATTGCCATTGTTTTTTAAATACCAGTTCCCTTCAGAAGTGGGAGTTATGGGGCCAGCACAAGTCAGGTCAGAAGTGTCAGAGCTGAGTGGCTGTGTGTGTTTTTTATATTGTTTTTAAATTATTTGGAGGGGGGAATTGTCTGAACAAACCTGAATATGCCTGTGACAGCAGGGGGAGCTGCGAGTCTGCATTCCTCTGCACATGCATTTAATTATGTTGAATATTTGGACAAAAACACAGAAGTATGCTTACACATCACCATAGAAAGATGCCTGCATGTCTAACAAGCAGCAAAAAAAATCGAGTTCATATTAAAGCATTAAACAAGGAGTAAGAGATAATTGTCACCTTCTCTCACAAGATAATAAAAATAAGTTACACTGTAAACATAAAAATCTTTTAAAGTACCCCAGACAGCATTCCCTCCTGGAACTATCACCATAGCAATGAGCATTCAAATAGGGGGAAAGTACTGCTGAAATCTGCATTTGATATTTTCAACTAACTAAAAATACAAACTGGAAAAAATACACAGAGGTGATATAGAGTGAAGCACACAAACATAAAAATCCTTCAACAAAATTAAAGGTGGCAAATTCCACCTGCAAATCTTTAATACTCCAGGAGAGAAAGGCTTTAACCAGGTAGCATATATTGAAAGAGTGCCTGCAGATAACTAAACTCATCTGATAGCTGCTGCATCCAACGATTCCTATTTATAACATTTCACACAGGTCTTTTTGCGGTGGCAGTATTGTGTGAAGTCTGAGGAAAAGATGCATGTTAGAGAGAAGGCAGTAGAAAGCTGTACCAGCAGAGCCATATAGGAACCCTAAGTATCAGAAAAGCAGGGTACCTTGTATGTTGTTAAGATTTAGGCACACAGCTTAACTCTAGGCAGAGGGGACTTAGAAAGTAGTAAATTTTATCTTTTCTAGTTGGTGCTTTAATAGGTCTTGTTTCTATGACATTCAAATCCAAAGTTGAGATTAAACAAAGAAGACAAGAGTGGATTGTTTTAAAATCCCTGTCCCAGATGCAGACGTCAGCAGCACACACAAAAGC